ATTTCGAAGACCTCAATTTCATATAAATACTTATCATATAAATGATAACAAAATAGTTCTTAGTCCAATTATTGTTATTATTATAAGTTTTACGAACTAGGAAAATAGATGTTAATACATAGAGGACATATGGTAAATAACAGATCGCTTATGTACTCATATCATATCATCACATCACATATCATTTGTGATGCTTCATTTAAACAAAAAATCGCAAAAGGTATTAATAACTCAAAACAAATACATAGTATAAAAAATATAGTAGATAGAGCATATTTTTGTTTTACTCAGGATACGAAGATGATTGACAGCTAGCTTTGAATGAGCGCTATTGAAGTAGTTTTATTTACCGTGGCATTGAACAGTCCATTAATTTTTTTTTGGTTTTTTTGAGTTCTTAAAATCTATAGTTAATTGATATTACGTCACGCTTAAAAAAGTCAAAAGCTTGTTTAAAGTCAATAAACAGACAAAGCACCTTTTATAAGATTTTCAAAAGTGATTTTCAAAAATTTGTTTTAAATCAGACATGTCCTTCCGGAAACAATATTAATAGTCTACTGGAGTCATACACGCAAAGCTGTTGATTGTTGATTGTTTCAATAAAAAGAACATTAATGAAAATCTATTCATTGCATATATGTCCTTCCGGTATCAATATTAATAATTTACTTAACTCAGACACTCAAAGCTATTGATTTGAATAGAGAGAACATTGATAAAAACTTTATACGCAGTATTCAATATTAAATATTTTCAGCGGTCATTTTTGTATAATTATTTATCATTCACTGTATGTATGTAAAAGATAATAAATCCAAATCACTCATACAGAACTCTTTCAGAAATCATCATTCCACAATACAATAATAAGCTGAAACAGATATTCTTATAGTGCATTCGTTTACAAAGAGCTCAGCTTTTATTCTGTCTAATCCACAAGCTTCGTTGAAGCGAAACTTGCTTAAACCATCGATTATTTCTTCGGGATTAGAATGTCCAGCAATGCTTTCAGACCTATGTATCACATCAGAGTCTAAATGGACATTGTCATTATCACTGGTATTGTTTACATTAACAAGGTGTTCTCGCCAGGCAGGAAGCGAGGGAGAAGCGATATGTGGTTTGAGTAGATGAAACCCCTTTAAGTCCGAAGTGGTTTAAGGAACTATATATATTCATAATTTATGTATATTGACTGTTTATTAAGATAAGTATGGCATATCATTGGCAGCTATTATTAATAAATTTTTATGTATAATTAACGCCGCAATCTATAACTTAATTCACTACGAGTACGTAGTGTCTTTTAGTTAGACGTAGTATCACAACAATTTGTTTACCTGCCGCAAATAAATTTGTACGGTAAGACAATAAACAATTGACCAAGAAAAAATACTACTGATAAATATTAAAATAAAAACAAAACGAAAATTAATCATTGTAAAATGTTTAAGTGGTAAATTTATAAGCAAACAATCTCGTTTAAGATAGCGAACTTTAAGAAAAATTAAAACAAATATTAAAACAAAAAAAAAACATCGGCAAAAATAAAACAAAAGAAATTGTTTCGTATGAGGGAACCCAAAGAGCAAAACGTGTTCAGATAAGTTCAAATACAGTAAATTGAAATATAAAAAGACTTCTCCAAAAAGTTTCTATAACAACGATAAAATGGCATGAAACTGACAGATCAACACGGCTACAGAGGGGCCATAGTGGAGGAAAAGTGGGAAAATAAAATATTAAATTGAAAAGTTGGAATTTGAATTTCACGCTTGTTGAGATAAGTTGGCCTAAAATAAAGTTCAAAATATTTGCAATCAAATGAAACAAGTGCGATTATGAAAGCTCAAAAACTGCTACAACTGTGAAGCAGGAAATTTTACTTAACCACATACGCATAAACCTCAAAGAACAATAGGTCATTTGAAGTAAAAAAAATACATTTAACATGGTTAAAGGTTCATATACCTTAACACTAATTAAAAAAAATTAAAGCATATCAATTTACACATCTTATTTAACATTTAACTAAAATTTAGTTAAAATTAAAAATTATTTAATTTCTGGGTATATTAGGACTTAAGATTTTGAAATTGTTTATCATATAACAAAATTTCGTTGAAAAGAGTTAGTTATTCACATTAAAAATGTATATATAAAGGTTTTCTATAGAATATTTTCAACTTACTGCCACTTTTATTCGCCTTTTTGATCATTTTACTGGTGGCATTATCATTGCTACTGTTGTTAATTCTATTCTTATTTTATCGTTTTTGAGTTGAGACCAGGTGTGTTTAACCAGCATAAGCGAATAAGAAGTAACAACTCAAATGCAAAAACTAAAAAAAATGTACACATATATATACCATAGGGCCTATTTACAATATCACATGAACATGAACATGAACTTGAAAACCGGTTGCTTGTTGATGAGAGAGGGAAGAGAGTGTAATGTGAGTTCACGAATTTTACGCAATGAAATTTGCTGCGTTTCTTTAGCTTGACACGCATACATATACAATGTTATGTTTATATGTACCTTTTAATGCTTAATACTCTCTATTTCTCTCAATTTCTGTGCTCTGCACTACTACACATAAGCATTTTATATGTTTACACAAAACAAAACAAATTTCACGCTCATGAGAGTTCATGATAGTGTAAACTGAACTGATAGTTCATGTTGTCGTCAAGTTCATCTCACGTTCATGATAGTGTAAATAGGCCCAATAATTTGCACCAATAATAGTGTTGTCTTGTGTAAAACTTTGTTTGTATGTAATAGTAAACTTGGTATTATAATCTAATATAATCTTAAAAAGAATCTTTATAATCGTCATTATAAATAAAAGTATAGAAGCAATAGTTAGTTTTATAAATATATTATATTATGTCCACAATTATCGCATTTAACTCAACATATTTCCAACAAAAAGTGCCATTTCTTAAATAAAATTCATACAAATATTTGTATGGATTATATTACATTCGATATTTGTAAAAGCAAACATAGTATTAAAGTACTTAATTATAAAGAAAATTATTTTTAATCTATATTTATTTATTTTTACTGTTTTTTATTTTAAAGATTAAATTTATTATGTAAATGATATAAAGATAAATAAATAATTAAAGAGTTATAATTTTTTGGATGTATTTTATAACATTTATAGCAGTCAAGAAGATTCATTGACCCTGAACACATCAAAGTTAACGCTATCCTATACTTTAGCAGAATCATATTAAACTCTACCCTGCACTTCTTAGAGAACACTGTTGACTCAATTACCATGTGAAGAATATATGTGAGGAGAAGGAAACATCAGAACATGTTCTATGCAACTACCCAGTGGCGGCAAGACGTAGGCTTGACTACCTTTGAAGCGGAATCTTGGTCCTAAATGAAATAGGTAAAATTAAGCCCACAGCTATTATGAGATGAATAAATAGCCTAGAATTGTTTTAGTTGAGCTTTTAGGCGAACATTAGATCTTTTAAGTGGGGATTCATAGCGTATTATTTAATAATAATAATATTTATAACACCAGTGTTTCGAAGTTCTTTTGATTTCTATCTCAAAGCATATTATTTCAATAATTTAGTTATAAATAATAATGTTGTTTTCGATTGGTAAATCTGGATTCAATCTAGATTTACTTTCAATCTGTCAAATTTTGTTATCCAATCGAACATTTTAAAAGTAATCTAACATTTTTGTGAATACACATTGAATCAAATCATACTTTATATGTTAAATCATATAAAACAGCTGTTAATTTTAGGATAATTTTGCTAGTCTGGCAAAATATCTAGAGTGTTATAAATTAATCTCATGTGCTATACCATTTACCCCAGATTCACCAATCACAAAAAAAGAAAATTGCACTAAAAGTTCTTTAAAAGAGTATCTCGATTGGAAAAATTACCCTAGATTTACCAATCGAAAATTCCATAACTAAGGAAACTTTCATTTGTTGCCATTTAAAATTTTACATATTGCAGGTGTAATTTGTTATAATAAGAAATTACAATTATCGAAAACTCTTTCACTTTATTGGAAAAGAGTGAAAGGATTTAAATGGTTTCTCAATGCAGTTTTTATGATGCATTTGTAAACTTTTAAAACTTTTAATTCCATTTTAATTGAAGTTTTCAAGGTATATATTATTTTTAAAATGTATTTGTACACTTTTTAAACTTTTAATTTCATTTTAATCGAAATTTCTAAAGTATATATTATCGATTTAAGCTATCACTGTTAACTACACAAATCATTTCACTTTACCAAATACTAGTTCTTGCTCTGAGTAACTACTCAGAGTATTTTTAGAGTATATTTTTTTCAAGTTTAAGCTCTATATTTATTTATTTATTTTATAATGTAATCTTAAGGAAGCAAATGTGAGATAATTACTTCAATTGCATGTCACACCAACAATGCCAGAAATAAACTGCAAATGAGAACAATTACTTATATCTTTAATAAACTAATTATGTATAATTTATAATTATTTTGCTGCTCGCATAACACTTCTTACAGCACTTGGTTAGGTGGTTCTATATTAAATATTTTTCCTCAACCAAAATCTATAATAAAAATCAATTATTAACAACACGTTTCCTGTGCAATGAATGAGTCGACACTTCTAGTTCCTTCAAGATAATTACATTGGAGAGCTGGTAAGTTGGTAAGCGTTTATTCAACTTTGGAACTTTCGTGAGGAGATCAATGAAATCGAAAAACTATAAACAAGTTTGTTTGTTGTTTAATGCAAACTAAATATTTTTGTAAAAATTGAGTTGGAAAAATAAGTAGGAAAACAACAAAAATAAAAGTTATCAGTTTATGAGCAAAGAAAATTTTTTAGAAAAAATGTGAAAAATTACATTTTGTAGAAAACATATGTAAAACTTCAATGTTAATTAAATTTGCAACAGCAGCAACTGAACTGAACCGAGCTGAACCGAACCAACCTGAACTACACTGAACTCACCTGCGGCATGGTCATTTACTGAACGTGATTCCCCAGTTGTTGTTGTTGCTGTTGTTTTAACTGGTGATGATTGTAATGTTGAGGATGATGATGATGATGGTATAGCAGTTGGAGAATTTGCGGTTGGAGTAATTGCAGATGCTGCAGCCGTTGTACGTGCAACATTTGATTTACGTCGTTGTATTAAGTCTTTCTTCCATTGTGGCATCTCTGGTAGAAAGGATGTTGGCGACGTTGCCGATGTAACTGAAGATGAAGAAGTGCTTGGTGAAATTCCTGCAGAGGCGGATGTGGTTATGCATTTTGATTGCTGCTTAGCATTGTCTTTATTTGTGTTCTCATTGTGTTTGAATAAATTGTTTGGACGTTCTGGTGCAGTTTCCGTTTCTGTTGAATCCAAGTTACATGTCGATGCAGCCATTTTTTTTATTTTTTGTAATATTAAAATTTACAAAAATTAATTTAATTTATAATAAAAGTTTATTAAGATATTTTTTTTTTATATAGATTATTTAAAACTTTTTTAGGCCTTTGTAAACGCGCTCATACACCGACCGCTGTACGCTTTACTGAGCCACGGAACGGAATGCGACAATATTGCGAATGACTGCTTGCGTTCGGTAAGTGTTAAGAGTGCGTTCTTGAGTGGGCCAAAAAGTCGCTGCGCTACGGTGGTTGTTAGGGCTTTTCTCTTTATTATTTTTTAATGCTGTTGATTATTTTGTTAATTGGATTTGTATTTTTTTCTTTTTGTTATATATTTTCTTAACCAACTTGCTTGCTTTTTATTTTTCTGCACAATTGTTTTTTGTTTCGTTTTTTTTTCTTTTTGGCTTTGTTTGGTATTTTCTTTTGCTATTGGAAAATTTTTTTTCTTAATTATTTTTAATTTTACAAATGGTAAATGATTTTTTTACATTTACTATGGTTCTACGTTTATTGATTTTCTTGAATGCAGTCTTTTTATTTACTATGTGAGAAAAAAAAAAAACAAATATTTAAAATATTTTGCAGTTTAAATTCTTAACAAGAAAAACTAAATCGAAAAGTCAACCGAGTTCGGCAGACGTCGATGGTTGTACTGAAACGAAAGTAAGTAAAATGTCATCCAGCCTGCGTGATAAGAAGAGTGGGTGGCAAAGTGCATTTCTGCAAAGAAAACCAGCTCTACATTTTTTTATCTTGTCTTCCTGCTAAGAAAGATATTTAATTGATTGGAAAGTGCAACGAAACTTAGAAGATAAAAGGAAAAAAAATTTTTTACATTTAACAAGTTAAACTATTTTTATTGTACTTGCATTTTACAAAATAATGCAGAAAAAAATATTACTTAATTCAATCAAATTTTTGCTATATTTAACAGTACACAACAACTGTTTTACACAATACATAATATATTGGTTATATCAATATCAATTACCCGATTATAAAAAAACAACCCCAAATGCGCTCCTGTTTTTGCGCGCCAATTCAAAAAAAATTAACTAAACAAAAAAAAAATACAGACAAAAATCAAATAAGAAAAGAAATACAAATACAAATACAAATACAAACACTAAACAAATAATGAAGTCGCAAGACTCAGCAGGCAACAACAACAGAAAGGAAAATAAATAAACGCAGGCTGCTGTGTTTATCGATTTTTCAGCAGAAAAATCATGAATGCAAACAAGGAAAGTTACGAATAAGCCACACAAACACAATTCGTTGCTGAGCAAGCAAACTCACTGGCATCTTTTAGCAAGGAGCACAACGTAAAGACTGAAAACTGGTGGTAGTAGTGTGATATTTAAAAAATGTTTGTTTGGCATATGATAATAAATTCCATTGGGTGGTTTGGGGTAAGAGCAGTGGGTGGCAGTTTGTTATTTGTTTTCGTTCTGGTCGCGCTTCGAAATATAAAAGGGCGTAGGCTGGGTTCGGAGGATACGTCTGGAGTCTGCGTTTCGTTTACACTTTAATCGTCTACAAAATTAAAACATAATTATTGTTTTATATTTACTTTCACAAAAACTTTTGTTTATTTATAAATCGCTGATTATCACTTAATTGCACTAATCCTTTTTAATTTTTTTTTTCACTAAAAGAAGCAGTATGTATATTTAATATTTAGCACACAAAACTTTAATTTTTTTACTTTAATAGTAAAGTAGTATCTTGCAACTTAATATATTTGAATAACTATTTAATTTTTTAATTTATTTTGTTAAATATAATTATAATATTTAAATTTATTTAAAATTTCTCTTTTTTTAATCCGTGTATGCAAAATAGTCTTTTCGCACCGCTCGTTACACACACGCCGCTGAGGAAAATGGTAATTGGAAAATTTGAAAAGCAGCTTAAATATTTCCCCACTTTGGTGATAATAAATAAACAATCCAGAAGGAGATAACAAAAGCAAATATAATAATTTAAAACATTTTATACAGGGTTGCATTTCAATGTATTGTGGTGTTGTGGTGAATAAGTTTAAATCTTAATAATAACATAACATTATACTAGGTTCAGATAACCAAATTTCCTTAATTTCGTAAAAATGAAATTGAGTTAATTTCGAAAGTTCACACTCTCCCAAATTAAGGAAATCATATGGTTTTTGTTTACAAATCGAATGTTAAAAATTACATGCTCCAAACACCATATGTATCTGGGAAATTTTAAAAGTTGATTATTATAACTATAAAGGATAGCATTCTGTAGTTTTATTAGCTTTACTGAATTTAAGGTATGTGAATTATTATTTTCACTCTATTTTAAATTAATAACAGTTACAGTTTTTATCTATATTCAAATTTAAAAATTTGCATTACTTTCAAAATATTTTCCCGGTTTAAAGTCAATTGTCACTGACACTTGTTTAAAAAAAAGTCACTTTTTCGTTATCTCAATTTTAATTTTTATTTAAAATTTATCATACGTTGCATTTAAAATGTCCCTTAATTTCAGCCTTCGTTTTAACGAAATTCAGGCCATTTTCCTTAATTACATTATAACCTTAAAACTGAATTTTGTATGGAAAACGCAACTTAATTTCGCTGAAACGAAGATGAAATAAGATTTTTACGAAATTAAGGTGTGTCTGAACATAGTATTAACCTTAAGAGTCTTTATGTTTTATTATTTTTATAATATAGTATGTATTAGTGGTCTTTATATAATAAAAAATTAAAATTTGTAATATTTCATTATAAGAAATATATTAATTATAAGATTATATCGCTATTTTGTACATAAATTGATGTTTTCCAACTTTTTCAAAATCACAATTAATCTTATCAAGATATGTGATTAAAGTTTTATTGTATATATGTAATATATACAATTATTTTCATTGCAATTTGTCTTAAGAATCTTATTTTAAATATTAAAAATTGAAGCTTCAATAAAATATATAATAAATACTAATCGTATATATAAAGTTATTTCTTTTAAATTATGCCTTTTCTTTTGTAAGCATATCACTAAAAAATAACCGCTTTTTTTAAAATAACATATAAAACAACAAACCTGCTGCTTTATTTAGTCCAACTTTTGTAAAACCGCTTAACTAATAAGCAGCTCAAATCGCATAGTTGCCAGGACTAAAAATTTGTCTATTGTGATCGGTTTTTGGCGGTTCGTATAAAGTTTACTCAATTCTTAATAATTTATTACTTTATTCTGTTAACATATTTTCATATTTTCAAAAATATTTTCCATATTTTCAAAGAATTGTTATTCATTTTCAAAACTTTCTTCCACTGATGCCATCACAGTAGTGCACATATTGTGTTCTTCTTTTGCGATATGCTTACAAAAGAAAATGCCTATTCTTATTGTGAAAAACTGATTTATGATTTATTTTTGTTTTAATTTTTGAGTCGTTACTTTGAAATTGTTTAAATGCGGTTTTTTATTAGGAATTCTTTATTTATTAGGAATATTAGGAATTCTCCTGATGAAGGCAAAAGCGAATTTGCCGAAACACGTGTAGAGATACACAAAAAAACTTTCGAAATAAAAGTTAGTATATTTTAAAAAACAAAAATAACCGCATGATTTATAATGTTAAGAAAAGAAATTCCAGTGAAAATGAATAATAAATATCAAATTTTTGTATTAAAATCCAATTAAAATATTACGCTATATAAATAAGTAGCTATATCGTAATGAGCACAATTATTATTATTTTTATTATTAGAGTTCACCTTCTGATGATTGCGATCAGAAGAATTTGAAAATATTTGCTAAAATTCAATAAATATAATGAAAAATTATCACGGCAAAATTATATAAATATATTTTTGTGAAAAATGTAATTAATTAGGTTTGAAAAAATTAATATGGAAAAAACATTACAATTGATTGTTAAGTTTATCACAGTAATATACAACCATTACTGTTTATTATTTTTTATCATCTCTTATCCTTTCAATGTGTAGCATTCTAATAAACGGCTTTTTCAAAAAAATCTCGACAATATTTAAAAATTTTGAAGTTTTAGAATTATGGACGTGTGCGAGTTAGGCTAAGTTGATGCTAACCCAAATGGGAGATTTTTTGGGATTTTTTGCACTGCACACATTTAGCCATTTATCAACACGTATCGACACATCACTACATTATCGGCACAACTTAGAATTTCCCTCATTTAGAACGCAACTTAGCCTAACTCGCACACGACCTATATATGTATTTTTCGCTGCCATGTCGACATAATTTAATATCTTCCTCAATTTATTATCAATTAACTAGAACTCGCATCTGACCTTAACATTTATTTTGGTATTCTCAAGAAATCAAAAATTATATATAAATTTCGTACTTTTTTGTTCACTGTTCCGTTCGGATATTAAGGACGTGTGCGAGTTAGGCTAAGTTGATGCTAAACCAAATGGGAGATTTTTTGGGATTTTTTGCACTGCACACATCACCACATTATCGGCACAACTTAGAATTTCCCTCATTTAGAACGCAACTTAGCCTAACTCGCACACGACCTAAGAATAAAAAGCCTGAGTAAATGGAGAATAAAAAATGTCAAAAAATGGCAAAAGAAAAATATTTCATCCGCATCAAAGCATTAATAAAATTTTAATCCACTAAATGCATTAAACGGTGCGAAAACAGTTATTTCTCAATTTAACTCAGGTGTGATATGGGCCTTTATTCACTGAGCAGCAGTTATTAATTGTAGCAAGTAGCTTATTATACGCGCTAATCAATATTGGCATCACTGTTGCGATCTGCCAAATGTTATGTTTCTGCAAATAACAAATCTTATATAAGTGCATATAATGCAAGCAAATTATATTTTGTGTAAATATAAATAATAAAGCTAAAATTAAAAATTAAAATGAATAATGAACTAAAAGCATATTTTCTTCACATACTCCCAAACATGAGCTGGTAACATTTTTTTGTTTATTAGCCGAAGTGTTTGGCCAGTATACCACTACTGACGATAGAGAACAACTTTCTGTTTTTTATCATACTTGCGAGCCACCGAAAAGGCCTATTGTTGTTTTGCGTACATTTTAGCAATTTTAAGCGAGTAACTTGTTGTTTTTGCCACACTAAAAAGCTGTCGAAAGCACGTATTGTCAAACGTCAGAGATTCTTTTTTTTTAACAATCTGAAACACTGATTTTAATACTTTTTCATTTTGACATTATCATATAATTTGGCACTATTTCTCAGCATATCTGTCAAATATACTGTCATCATCACATCGTATTCTAAAGTGGCAGAGAAAAATTGAGATTTTTCTTTTACTTTTATTTTTTTTTATATATTGAATTGTATAAATTGAAAAGTTAAATAAAGTGAACAAATAAAAACAGTACACGATAGTGTTTGCGAAAATTTTCGTATAGAAAATTTTTGGTGCTCAAATCGATATAGAAAACAGAAAAAAATGTCCAGTTCAATAGAGACAATTGGACTGAAATTGCAATCGCTGGAAGAGCGATTGCAAGCTGAAAATACATCGCGTGATGCAATGGATGTCTTCCCACAAAACACACCAAGCATACCGAAGGAACCAGCTGCACCAAGTGGCCCTAGTAGACCACGAAAGCGTAAGTTCACTTATAAAATGTTTTTTTTTTTTATTTCATAGCAAAACTTCAATTTATAAAGAACAGAGTACATTGCACAGCTAAATGACCACAAATAAAAAAAAACAATTTCATTTATACTTTAATAAAGTTATATTAAGATTATTTAAAAAAAGAAATCGGTTTTATTGATTCTATGCGAAAAAAAGTGAAATACTAGTGGCAGCGCAGTCTCACTGCCTGTCGCAAAATATTCGTATATGTGTTGTTGCTACACTTATTTAAGTTTACGTTGACGTCGTGCAGTCGTATTGGATTATATTATTTTGCGTTCGTTTACATTTGTTGTTGGTGTAGTTTACTTCACATTGGATACCACTCTGCTCTGTGTGCATTGTTTTTGTTTTTGGTATTTCCGGAGGAATGCCTTATTTTTTACGTCGTTTATGTCGCAGTCTGCGTTGCGATTTTTTTTTGTTTGTTTTATATGCGAATTTGGAATTGATTGTTTTTGTTGACTTTTGGTTGTTGTTTTTTATGTTATTTTATTTAATTGTACATATTAAATTATGAACTGTGAGAATTATCAAGTTTGAATATTGTTTTATGGTGTATGTTACTCTACTGTAATGTTAAGGTCATGAATTAAATTTTTTATCGTATTTCTTTTTACATAATTTTGATTTCAATATAATGTGCTTGATGGAGAGAGTATTATGGATTCCTTTGGGCGGTCTTTAACTCGATGGATCGTAAACGATGTCGTACGCGTTTATGTTAAAAGAGTATATGTGAATATTTTTAATATTATTATTATTATATTAATAATTTAAATAATTTTTTAAATCATTTTTAAAAATATATTATGATTACTTTTCGTCTTTATTATTGTGGTTGTCAGCCTATTTAGAGGACTAAAGAATTAGTCCTTTAGTAAATATCTGAAGACTTTTCTTTTGTTTACAGAGCAATATTTGTCAAACATTAGTGATAAAACTATTCACTTATTATATTGATCTTTTAGATTAAAAAAAATGTTAAAAAGTTAATATGCAGTCATTAACTTCACAACTTAATGTCTTATCTATTTACTTCTTCATTTTTTTACTCTCTGTATAGTATAAAGCTAAAGGATTTAGAAAAAGTCGTTCAATGGTTGAAACGGTAATAACTCTTCAACTTAATCCTTTATCTTATTTAGTCCATTATTTCACTTATACTAAAGTACGTTCATTTAGAGATAAAACTAAATATCTAATGGATTGCAACAGTAACAATGCTAATAATGGTCGAGTCTACCTTCGTTTTGTAATTCCTATTATGTTATCTGCTTTTCGGATACTTGGAGGTTACAACAACAACATTCTAAAAGCGTTTGTGTTTACGTCCCCAAACCACTCGTCGAGTTTAGCACCAAGTGCCGTTCTACATTCCCAAAAGGACTATGCAAACAAATTTTCGCGGGTTATCATCCAGTTTCAAGTATAGGATTTAAGAAGTTATATGAAATCTGTTATGACTTCAACAGTAAGAAATCACTCTAAAAGTTGTTCCCTTATTTACTTCATATAGTTTATTTCATTTTACTGACATTAAATTCGCAATTGGCTTCTATAGTAACAATTAAGTTATTGGTACAATAGGATTCTTCTGGCCGCAGTTCCGGCTGTTAGGCGATTCACTTCAATAATTTTTAATAAAAAAACAATCAAGTTTACAACATAATGCTTATCTACTCAGTTTAGTTCCCTTTCAGTCATTTAAATATAGGGGTTTAGTGATAATACTAAATCTACAATGGGCTACAATAGTAACAATTGAGTTTTTATATTTAATTTATTCCGTTGTTCAATAAGCTTGTGGAGAGATAATACACAAGTTCTGGATTAAAATACAGACTTTTTTATTTTAACTTACCTTGAAATTACGGTATGGATGATTAAGTAGAAAGGTAGATGTTATGACTTTCGGGCAACATCCGCACACTTATTTGATAAAGTTTGCAAAAACTTTTCATCTCTTTATCATACAACTGCTTTATTCATGTTAGATTATATGGGAAGAGAGGATTGTATTATTTCGGTATTAATTTTAAAAGCATTCCTTATGTCTGTCCTTACGTTGAGAAGTACTTAAATTTGTTGATGATTTATTTCAACTTATTCATTGAGATGTTAACAAAAATAAATATGTCACTTGCGAAAAATGTTTCCAGATTTAACAAACATCGAGTTGTAAGAGCAGGAAAACATATTAAGTAAACTTCCTTTCATAATCTAGTAAATAAAAATGAAAAAAAAAAATATTTTTAAACAATAAGATAATTGTGTTAAATGTGTTATTTTTATTATATTATTTTAGTAGAATCACAAAATCGAAACAGAATGCAGCTGCCTTTTATAACGCATTCACGTACTATTGAGACAGACACTGATAAAAAGCTCAAAATGATTATGACACAGACTGGTATACTCACAATTAATGGGAAGCAATTTAAAGCCGATGTGAAGGACTTGGAACATTTGGGAGACTTGGGTAATGGCACCAGTGGGAATGTAGTAAAGATGCGACACATACCCAGTAATACAATAATAGCTGTAAAGCAAATGCGACGTACTGGTAATGCAGAGGAAAATAAACGTATACTAATGGAC